CGTTGGAAGGCGCTGGTGCCGCTCCTTCGGGGGGGGCTGCGAGGCTGCCACAGCCCCCTGGAAACCCTGCTTGCCCCCAGGGCATTAATTCATTAGTTTTAATAAGTAAATGTATAAGCCCAAGTTAGAGGTCGGAGCATTTTAATAAATAAAGATCGGCTTTTAAACTGCAGTGATTTTTAGCTGAGTAGCTAATCTTCTCAAGGGCTTAGCTTGGAGGGATCAGAATAAACAGATAATAGAAAGTCGTTACAGGCACCGTCCCCTTAAAGTCTGCTTAGGAAGTTTTATTCTTTTGAGTTATTTCAAATTCTGCGAATTATATCTGAATGTAGTGCAGGTGGGGGGGGGGGAAGAAAGATTAAAAAATGTTAGCTAGATACATTCCCCTCAACTGGAATGTTTTAAAGAGTGAGTTCATTATATACCACCGCATTCAATTTGCAAATGCAGTTCCCAATGCTATTTTTCATGGTTAATAACTGGGAATTGATTGAAAAGGGAGGTCATGCAGCTTTCAAAGCAGAAAGCGCCCAGCCTAATGGGGCTAGTGAAGAGATGGTTTTACATACACACTTTCAATAGTTGTTTTATTAGATGTTTGCAGGTTGTGATTAACAGTATGTGGCAATTTTATTATTGAACAAACAATGCCTCTGACAAGTAGCCTGCAAAGCGAACATGAACTGTGCAAAGAAGAGATTGCACTTGGAGTTTCCACACGTTTATACAAGCTAATTAGGGCAAATCATAAATTACTGTGGGAAGGGAAGATTTGTATGTGAGTTGGTGGAGTTCTCCTTGAGCGAACCGTCTTCCACTCATGAATTATCTTGCTCAGGAAAATGACCTTTAGAGGAAGAAAAGGAGGTTTACTAAAATGGGAATCGGCAGAAGGAGAGGCCAAGCCTCGAGAGCAAGCGACGCCTTTTGACCCTCTCCCAAAGGCAGAAGCTGCCCAGGCAATAAACTTTCCTCTGTGCCTCCCCTCCACCTCGGTGTCAGGAGAGCGGGATGCTGCTCCCATGACTAACAATTCCATCTTCAAAGCTCTTCCCCCACCAGCTGTCCACGAGCACTGGCTCCTGTCCTTCCCCAGGCAGAGGCTGGGTGGCAGCTCATCGTGAGCTGCAGACATCCTTTCCATAGCCAGACACAGCATGGGGAGCCTGACATTTTCAAGGTCTTAACCTGTTGCCTGATGGAGAGTATTTAAAGCCAAGAGCCTTATTAATAAACTCCATGCAACGATGGCAGCTGAGAAGTACTTTTATTGTAAAACGGGGGATTTTGAAGAAGCCTGGCAAAGAACAGGCCCAATCCTAACACACACAGGCCCCCCCCCGGGGATTTTTGGCTCATTCTGCTAAGGATCAGGATTAATTCCAAAGGTAGTCGTTACTGAAGAGAGACAACATTTTGTTGGCAAAAGTATTTGCTTCCTCCCGTGTTTCCCGCTTAACCCACATATAGTGGTTGGAAGGAGTAGGCCAGATTCTGCTCCATTTACTCCAGATTTGTCTCCAGCTGACTCCACTGACAGCAGTTACACTTCTTCGGGTTTACACAAGTCAGAAGGATCTGGCAACAGCATTTCTGTCATTAATAAACCACCAGAAATGTTAAGATCAATACCAATCTGAGGATATACAGTATACCCTGAATGGGCATTTGGCTTGCAAAATCACAGCTGACATAATGGGATGTGTAATGCTCTTAGGTGGCCCTAATAAATTGTCCCCCGCTGGCACGCGCCGGGGTGTATTCCAGTCCTCATGCAAGGTGGACAGGCTGGAGATGCGCACATCTGCCCCCAAATCTGCTCCCCAAAGACAGGAGAGGAGAGCTGGAGTCCCTGTCCCGGGCTCACAGGTGGGGTGCATGAGCACTGGGAAGGCAGCGGTGCTGGTCCCATCATGGGAGACATCACCCATCCCAGGTGCTCGCTGGGGCGCTCAGCAGGGCAAATTCACAGGGCTCCTAAAGTTACCGGAGCCACAATGATTTCAACAGCTCAGAAACCAGATCTGCTCTGACCATGACAGCCAGCCTGCAGGCGGAGGACACCTAACCTCACCTTCTCCCTGATCTTCCCCATTTGATGTTATTTAGCATGTAGCAGCCATTTGCAAACTGTCACAGAAAGACACGATAGGACTTTACAAGAAAATTTCCAGTTATCTCAGGTATTTTTCATAAAGCAGCCAGTTCTATTTAATATTCCTCCTCCGAACTTGCCTACAACCTCTCAAAGGCTGTAAGCCTTCCAGCGACCCTGCTGAGTCTCCAGCCCTGCAGCCTGCCCAGCTCCGTGGAGGACAGCAGGATGCTCCTCCTGGCTGCTACACCTTGAATCAGGAGCAACCTGAAGGAGCCCCACTGCCACGGTGACACCCCACACCAGGATTAAAAATCAAATTCTCAAGGTCACGGGCATGGTGAGAGCAGGACCAGGCATCCCTGCACGACTCACGCCCTGCTCGCTAGCGAGGCTTGAAGAGCCTTTGCGAACATCTATAAAATGTGGTGGGTGTGCCATCGTAGTGTACTGTCAGATGAAACCCAGGCAGTAAATCAAGCGGCGTAGCACAGCTTAATGCCCCAGTCTGTGATTGTACGTGATGCACAGCCTCTTCCCATAGAGTTGTGAGGATCAGCTGGGAAAAAAAAATAAAAATCCGATTTGACTTTCGGGGTTTGATGCTACAGTGTTTCCCAGGCTAAGATGAGATCAGTAGGTCAGCCCCATAGTTTAAAGCTTCTTTGTGTATTTATGCCTATTAAGCTGACCTCTTATAGATGAAGTCTGACAGAGGTGCTGAATACTTTATGTAATTTTTTTTTTACTGGATCTAATTCTAGCTGACTCAAATCTGGGTTTTTCTGATTGCAGGAAAAACCTTCAAACAAGGAACAATCTAGCTAATAGTGCCTGCATAAATCATCCTCAAAATAATGAGTATCTGTGGAGTGAATTCATTTAGCTAAATAGATGGAGGACCACTTTAAAGTTATTTAGAAAGATTAACAAAAGAGAAGGGAAATGAAAAACAGATAATAAATTGACGAGAGAAGGGAAAAATTGTATTAGAAACAATGAATTTATAATAAATTCAAAATGTTAAGGAGAAATTTCCAAAAAAGGAGATTGGCACCATGGCAGTTTGGCTGTGTTGGTGCTAAAATGTATTTTTAATTAAAATACATGGATGTTAAAATGCATTTTAAAATAGATAGATAAATAGGTCCCCAGCCAAAATTATATTTTTACTTTTATGACTTTCAAATTCACCCGTAATTTGTCAGTTCCTCAGTACAAGAAAACACTTATCTACTCCAGGGCTAGTTCCTCCATTGCACTCAACATACCTTCATCAGCCACTGACTACAGAATGCCAAACTGCACATGCCCCCTGGGCAAATCACAGTGCTTACTCCCTTCCCACCTGGAATCTACACCTTTTTCTGACAAAACCCCCGGTATTTTGCTCCTGCATCCTTTCTTCTTCTCCTCCCATTTTTCCTTCCTCCCATCTCAATCCTTTCCCTTCCTTCTCCACTGATTATGCCATATGCAGTCCCCCATCCTATTCCTTGGTCTCATATTCCCCCCCAGGTGTCTTCTATCCCGGTAACAGCCCCACAGGGAGCCCCTGCAAACATACTGGATTGTCCTCATGCATTTTTGGTATCTCAAAGCCCTTACAACAGCTCTCTATTTGCATTCCAGTGGCAGCAGCAGACAT